ACACACACACACACGACGACACACACACACACGACACACACACACACACACACACACACACACACACACACACACACACACACACACACACACACACACACGAACCGTGCCAACGAACGCTGTTGCCTCCAGCTGCTTCCACCCAAACGCCTGCCCGCATCTCAGCGCGAGCCCGATGCTCAACTCATCACGACACCCACACAGCCGCTGCCATGTGCTGCTGCTCGTTGTCATCGCGTGGCTTTGTTGTTGTTTGGATGATGGATGGCGGGGTGCAACTTGGGCAATCAAGAAAGCAAGGGAATACATAGATATGTACACAGAGAGGTAGACAGTGAGCACACGCCAGCACGCGCACGTATACACACGAGCACGAGCCAGCAGTAATGTAACAGGCGACAAGCAAACAACAATGACAGCAGCAGCAGCGGCGGCGGCGGCGGCAAGCGATGATGGTCAATTGACAGCCATCCGTGGTCGTTGGTGGCTGCAGGTCAGGGCGCAAGCGCTGCTGTGACGGTGAGGTGACACGCAACCGTGCACGACCCATCGCTGTGTGTCACTGCATCCTCTCGGTGCTCGCTCACGTGCACAACAGAGGTTGCCTGCAAACTCGCCCGCTTACACGCAGCCTTGATCTTCGCCAACGCATCTGTCATTGCCGTGTCTGTCAGCTGCACCCTGCTCACGTATGGGAAAACACGGTGAAAGCACATCGAAGTGTGTGTGTGTGTGTGTGTGTGTGTGTGTGTGTGTGTGTGTGTGTGTGTGTGTGTGTGTGTGTGTGTGTGTGTGTGTGTGTTTGTGAGCGAATGTGTGAGTGGATGAGACAGACAGGCAGACAGGCAGACAGGCAGGCACAGACAGACAGACAGACACACACACACACACACAGACACACAGACAGACACACAGACACAGACACACACACACACACAGACAGACACAAAAGACAGACACACAGACACACAGACACACAGACACACAGACAGACAGAAGCAACCAATCCTACCACCAAGGAATAACAGGAGAGCCGGACTCACGATGTTGACGACAGTTGCTCTTGACTGCACACATACTCGACCTCATCCACAAATATCTTATCAATGTCCTACAACACCACGAACACCGGCGAGCAAGTGAGCCAAGCATGCACGTAGTGGAGAAGAAGCAAGGACTGTCACGTCACGAATTGCATTCACATCGCGCGTTTGAAAGCAAATACGGGGGACACACACATCACACTCACTCACGCGTGCGCAAGCCAACGAACCTTCTGGCAGATTTGTGACAGGACTGCTTCGGCAGATTGTCTGGACAGGCAGACACGTCGGTGAGAAGCACATGCACATGTGAGCAGACTGACTGACACATGCGCTCACACAAGTCGACAATACGTACATGCAGACATCCACACAAAACCACACACATACGTAAATACACATGTACACACGAGCACGAACACACACACTCTCTCTCCCTCTCACACACACACACACACGCTCTCTCCCTCTCTCTCGCGAACACAAACAAACACAAGCATCTTCTCCGTGACACAATGCAGCTGGTCACACACTTGTTTCGGAGCAGCACTGAGGTCGTTTTGACAATGCTGATGGAAGTCTCGCCTTTGGTCACGCGCATCGTCTCATTCACGTCCGCCTTTCGTACACCTGGTGGTCAGTTAGCGCGTACATATGTGTGTATATGTGAGCGAGTGAGCTCGTCACCATCGATGACACGCTTACTTGGCACAAGACCGCCCACCATGATACACAACACCACGACCAATGCACAACAACTCACTTTGTTCTGCAAGGAGGTGGATCACCCACTTGTGCCTCTTGTTGACGCTTTCCTGCGCCTCTGCAAAGTCCGATTTCTCGCTGCGGATTTGAACCGCACACGCATTTACATGACATCCCGTGCGTGAGTATGAGCCCATCGCACGTATGTAGAGTTAGCACCCGCGTGTGTTGTTCGCACACGTGCGTCGTATCCAAACTCAGCACATTCAAAGAAGGGCCAAGACAAACACTGTTGCTTTCATCATCAAACCACAGCCAAACACAACCGCTGCAGACTGCATTGCGCACCTTTTGATCGAAATCACCAGGCGAGCCATGTCAGGCTGCACGCGCCTGCTGGCGTGTGCTTCCACTTGGACCGCGTTCTCCACCACCATGGCTGCTGCTCTCGCTCTCCGGTGAGTGA